GTGAGTATGAAAGAACTAGAAAAGATTCTAAAATGCAAAGATATACAATTCACCACAAAAGTTAGAATCATACAAGCCATTGTATTTTTTTATTACCATGTATGGATGTGAGAGCTGGACAATTAAGAAAGATGATAGGAAGAAAATCAACTCCTTTGAGATGTGGTGCTGGAGAAGAGTGCTGAGGATCCTGTGGACAGCCAAAAGGACAAACAAGTGGGTCCTAGAGCAGATCAAGCCAGAAACCTCCCTGGAAGCAAAGATAACCAAACTGAGACTATTGTACTTTGGACACATCATGAGAAGAGAAGACTCATTAGAAAAGACAATAATGCTAGGAAAGGTGGAGCGAAGTAGGAAGAGAGGCAGGGTACATGACAGATGGATAAACTCTATTAAGGAGATCATGGGTATGGGTTTGCAGGAATTAAGCAGAGCAGTGGAGGACAGGGGGTCTTGGTGATGTCTCATCCATAGGGTCACCATGAGTTGAGATCGACTTGAGGGCAGTCAACAACAACAAAATTATATAAAAAAGTACTTTTTTTTTTTAGAAGTAGTGTGCACTTATCTTTCCTGCTATACACTTACCTATAGATCTAATGTTGTGAAAACTGAATAGTTATTCAAGGATAGTTCTGTCTATAATATAGCTGCTGGTATGTTCTTTCAAGTAGTTTCTGACTTAAGGTGAACCTAAGGCAACCCTACCACAGGGTTTTCTTGCCAAGATTTGTTTAGCAGGGGTTTGTCTTTTCCTCCCTCTGAAGCTGAGAGTGTGTGACTTATCCAAGGTCCCCCAGTGAGTTTCCATGGCTGAGTAGGGATTTGAACCCTGGTGTGAAGAGTTGTAGTCCAACATTCAAACCACTACACCACACTCTCTATAATGCATTAGTAACTGTAACATTTTTGATCTTTATAAACATATAATAATTGCAAAAATGAGCAAGCTAACTGTGAACAGGATGCAACAGATGAAAGAATGGCAAAAATCTAGTGGTACTGGGAAAGTAGTGATCCATCTTCCTCCCAGCAGTCTCCATGTGCCCTCAAAAACAGGATTGTAAAATCCTGCAGTGCATCTTCAGCAGCGGTGGTGGGGGACTGCAGAGGTGAAGGGGAAGTGAAGAATGTTCTGAAAGGTCCAAGAGCAGAATGTTGGATTTAGCCAATTTGCTTTAAATGCTTCACATAATTGATAAAATAACAGTAGTGTTTTAGTGATATCACAATATTTAAACATTGACACTTAATGCTGTTCTGTTTTCTATATGCATTCAGAGTACACATTCAAACATGACACAATATTTAGATATAGCAATCAAAAACACAGGAGGGAATATTGTTTGTGTGTATGTACCTTTGAGTTGCCTGTCAACTTATGGTGACCCCATTAATTTCATAGGGATTTTTTTTTAGGCAAGGGATACTCAGAGGTGGGTTTGCCAGTTTTTTCCTATGAAATATAGCCTACAGCAACTGGTATTTGTGGGCTGTCTTCCATTCAATTACTAACTAGGAGTGACTCTGCTTCACTTCCAAGATCAGACAGGATCTAGCGCTTTAGCATACTGCATATAATCTTTAGCAATCTAATAACACATATGTACATATCTGAATTCTAAAGTTTTTGCTCAAAATATAAGGACTTCAGTGGGTGTTAGATTTTATGGTTATTTTGCATTCACTCAACTGTGTTTTATATTTATCTTATTGCTTAATATATCATAAAAAAGGTAAAGGTATTCCCCGTTGACAAGGTTGTCAAATCGTGTCCAACCATAGGGGATGGTGCTCATCTCCGTTACTAAGCCAAAAAGCCTATTCTGTGATCATGTGGCCGGCATGATTGCACAAAATGCTGTTTACCTTCCCACCAAACTGGTACCTATTTATCTACTTGCATTTGCATGCTTTTGAACTGCTAGGTTGGCAGAAGCTGAGACTGGTGACAGGAGCTCACTCCATCATGCAGCACCCGGTCTTCAAATTGCCAACCTGCTGATCTTGCAATCAACAGAGTCAGCGTCTTACTATTTATATGCTAGTCACATTATCATTACTTTAGCTGTTATGCTTCAATTGCTATTACTGTTATTTTAATTCCACATATTCACTTTTTATTATTTATAGCTTTTCATCATCTTATTTCAATCAAGCTTAAATTTGCTTTATTTTTGGTGTAGATTTGACTGTGTGCCCATTCTCCATTATGCTACCACCCAAAATTGGCCTAGCTATTCTAGAAGGTTCTGAATATAGCAGGCCCTTGGTATCTATGGACAGCAAGCCTGGGGGGGGGGGGCACAGAAGGAAGTGGAGGAAGAGGAGGAGGAAGAAGAGTAAGGAAGAAGAGGCGGTATGGAGGAAGAAGAGGAGGAGGAAGCGGTGGGGAAAGGCAGAGGAGAGGAAGAGGCAAAGGAGAGAAGAGGAGGAGGAGGCAGCAGCAGGAAAAAGCAGAGGAGGAGGAAGAGGCAAAGGAGGTGAGAGCAGCAAGGTGGGCTTTGGGGGGAGGGGCAGCCAAGTCCCATTGTCCCTAACGGTGGCACGGCCATGTGGCTGTACCACCACTGAAGACAATGGGACTTGGGCATTTGCAGATTTTGGTATCCGCAGGCGGATCTGGAACAGGATACCACAGATACCAAGAGCCAACTGTATGTTCTGTCCAGGTGCATACCCAGTTGTATGATTCATAGAGACCACGCAAAAGAAGCAAAATACAATAGGGATTTTTTCTTTTACTTTTAAATCTTCTACATACTCCTCCCACTTACTATTTTATTCAACAAGGTTCATGCATCATCTCTATCCTATTACAAATTGGGTGGAGAATAGGTAGAATAACACACAATTAATTACAATTTAATAAACACCTGTCTTGATTTCTGACTGTATTAGCCTACAGTTGTCCCTCACAATTCGTGGGATATCCGTTCCAGACCCCCCTACGAAAATGGTGGCTCGCTAATATTCGAGTCTCATTGAAACTAATGGCGCATGCACCCATGGTACACATGTGGCCATTTAACATATAGCCACTTGTCTCTCCCCACAAAGAGCAAGACTGCGGACTCGAAGTCTATGAATGGGGAGGGACAACTGTATTTACAAATGTTGTCACTCTTTTTAAAAATTATTTTGTTGTTATAACAAAGAGTCTCTTTGACTGGGTGGTTGATACCCTACTCTGGGATTTGGAGAAGGGCTTGGATAGTCCCACATGGGGTACACATGCAAACTGCCACAGATTAACAAATATTACAGTGGGCGATGATCAATTCAGTTCAAAGAGTCTGAATTATGTCTAGTAAGTCTGAATATATTGACTCCCCACAAGCACGTCTTTTCTGTGCTTATATTTAGAAAACAGGTTGTCTAGTAGTGTTAAGGAGCTTCAATTATAATCTGTGTGTGATGGTGTGGTTTAATTTGGATAGTGTTCTCTTTCTCCCAGTTTCTCACTCTCAATGGTGGTGCTTACTTATAAAGGGTTGTCTAATTTTCCCAGCCTTTGTGTAGATTACATTATCTGAATTTATCTTCCCCCTCATTGTTGGTAGTGATTCCCTAGAAGAGGACCTTTAGCTGAAACAATCTTAATCATCTCATTTAAGATTATGGGGAAGGCTTCTTCTGGGGGAAAAGTGGGATGCAGTGTTTGCTTTGGAAAAGCCCCTCCCTTATTCTTCAGAATTTTACCATCCCTGCAGATTGGAATCTGATTCTACTTAAATCCCTCAATGGAGAGAATGTACTTGAGGCTATTCTCCTTTGTATAAAACAAGTCTCCCTTTGAATCACTTTTATTCAACCTCAATGATGACAAAACAGAAATCTTCAGCCTGATGAGGAATGGGTGACCAACCCTGCTTGTGATGATGTTTTGATTGGTGGTGTTCTACTTAAAATGGGGCCAGGAGGAAGACATACAAAATAATTGAGAGTGGGAAGAGAAATTACTACTAAAGACAGTTGTCTTGGTCTCTTCCTTTTATGAGATTAACTAAGAAACTCCTTGGTAATAAATTCTATGGTCTCTCACGAGTGCTTCATTTGTTTATGCAAGGCGATCCAACTGATACATGCCCACTCCTGCAGAACAGACAGCCCATGGTAACCACTTACCACTGCATTGTTCTCAGAAGGGAGAGCTATTGTCTCTGGCAGAGTCACACACATGCACTCCCAACATGGTAGCTAGTGAGGTATCATGCAAAACCTCACATTTGTGCATATGGGGTCTTGACACTCTCTGACTGTTGAGTGATGTCATAGGCCAATCCTAGCTCTCTGAGACCCGTGACCTGATTTTCCCTGGAAGAAATGAGGTCTGTGCTGGCAACTATATGAAAAATATATTAATTAATTGTGTCTTATATTTATCCCTCCCCCCCAAAAAAAACCCAGAGACACAAGACAGCCTCCAAATTAAAAGTAAAACTTCTCTCCCTAAATGCAAAGAAAAGTAGTGAAATAAAGGAACAAACCAAGGGCATATGTCTATCCGTCCTTGCTGTTGGGTAGAATCAATCCATTCTATGCCAGGTAGCATCAGAACTCATGAGTAAAGGACTGGCAGGCAGGGGGCCATTTCCCTGCAAAGCACTTGTGTCCTCTGCTCTAAATGTAAAAAAAAAAACCAAAAAAACATTTAATTAGCTCTGCCTTTTTTTTTATGGATGTAGTTCTGACGTAAAGAGGAAATGATGCCAGTAAGGATAGCCTACTTGTTTAAGCCCTTGCTCCCAGTTCCTACCTTGTAGAAATGTAGTTAGGAAATAGCAGGAATGTTAATCAAAAAAGCTTTTAAACATTGAGCCATGACTTAAACCTGCTCTTTTAGGGTGGCAGAACCTATGACTTTTCCAGAAAAGCTGTTTCTTGTTTGATTCCTCCTTACAAGGAAAGGAGATTAATCCTTTCCTAACTTCCTTATGCTGTCACTGATTGATAAAGCTTTGTTTCAAATCTAACAGAGACTCCCCACCAATATATTCAATATTCAAAGTAGCTCTGAAATAGACAATCCAGATTTTAATTACAATATATACCTGTGTACAAGTCGACCTCATGCACTCCCAACATGGGAAGGTTTGGGGACCAAAATCATGGTTTTTGATATCACCCATGGATAAGTCAAGGGTAAAACATAGAAGATGTAAAAAAGGATGTAAAGGAGGAAATACCACTTCCTCCCCTCCTTCTCTGTACTTCTCCTGACCACCTAACACCACTTCCCTGGTGCTGGAGGAGAAGGCTTTAACATCAGATTGAGAATGGAAGGAAACAGAGTTAAATAGAGTGTTTGTTTGATGGGAAGAGAAGGCTTTAACATTGGATTAGGAAGGGAAGAAAGTAGAGCTAAATGGGGTGCTTGCTGGATGGGGAGAGAAGGCTTTAACATTGGACGGAGAAGGGAAAGAAGTGGAGTTAAATGGGATTTTGTCTGATGGGGGGAGAAGGGAAGAGGGGTTAAATAGGGTGTCTGTTTGGTGGGGAGAGATATCTGAAGGAGGGGGAGGATGGAGAGAGAAGGATTTAACATCAGATTGAGGAGGGACTCACCTCTTTCACACACACACATAGCCTCGGCAGCTCTTCCAGAGATCACTGCCAGGCACAGAGAGTGGGGCATGGGACGGAGCTTCTATCATACCCATATGTAAGTTGATCCAGGATTGTAAGGTCAATTTTTGGGAATAAATTGTTTGACGTAAAGTCGAATATATACAGTATGTGCCAAAAATCTCATTTATCTAAACACATGTAATCTATCCAAAACCCATGCTCTTCTCCCAAAATTAACTTTCTTATGCTAGGAATCCTGAACACATATACTAACCACAACTCCAAACCATTTTCAAGTCACAAGTGAGATA